GAGATGCTCAAGGCTGTATTTGATGCAGTAGATGAGGGAGCTCAGCAGATTCATTGCCACAATAATTTACTGCTGATGTTACAAGATTTTTCAGCTGTGCTTATTATAAGTGTTAGAAGGGATTTCTCACCTGTGTTGCATTATGAGTTTAATGCCATGAGTGTATGTGTGAGAACACCTTATAGAGCAGGACCAGTTCATGGTTTAACATCTAGTGTAATGAGGTCCAATAAAATCATGTTAAAAGGATGTTAATGTTGCAAAGGAAAACATCAGAAGCAAGGAAATGCCAGAATTAATATGACCTGTGGAAATCCAGTCTCTTATGCATTATGGTGCAGCTCTTATTACATGACATACTGGGCTTTCCAGGGGATATCTCCTTTTTTCAGTGAATGTGTAGTTAGATTTTTCTTTCTATGTTCCTCAGTCTATATTTGTTCAACCTGAAGCATCCAAAGTCCATACTTAATATAAAAACACTTGTCATGTAAATATTTCTCATATACATTAAGAACTTTAGTGTTTAATGAATGCATCTCTTTTTCACAGTGCCCTCATAGTATCAGACACTTAATACAGTGTTCATATTTGCAATCTGCTGAACCAGGGCAGAGATGAAGGCAGAAATTGCATAAAATATGGACTGTTTTTTCCCCAATTTGAGTCAAATTAGACCTTCATTCTGGATAAACATAACATTTGTACACCATCTTGTAAGTTCAAAGTATAGTTTCCCAGCTTGGATCATTAATTAGGTCTGCAGTGCAGCTGGTGTAGCAGAACTAGCCTGTTACCCTGGGCAGATCGGTCACTAAAGGCTCCACTAGTGAGTTTCACAGATATTTAATGAATGCTCAGGCTGGCGTTTACAGTGTTAGTCCCACATCTGATTAGAGGAAAGGAGAGCAAACTGTGCCGTGCTGCCCCGTCCCAGCCAGCCCCTGTACTCTTCCACTGTCCACATCCCATCCCTACGTCTGCCACATTTTTTTCACCTGGCTCCTGCCCTCCTCTAATTTTGTCCCTGCAGATCACCTTCTTCTTTTGTCCCCCAGTTTCCATTCCCTCTCCTTGTTCCCGTTTTTCGTCTGTTGCTCCCTGTATTTGAGTCTGCAGGGGTTTTCTGTTTCAGGGTATTGCCTGGGTACCTGCATGGCGGGAGATGGGACTGACAGAGTGAAGAGCGACAGTTTTGCTAACATCAGTCCCTTTCCTGATGTCACGGGAGCTCCTGGCCCTCAGGAGAAGTAATCCTAAGTCTTACTCAGGGCCAGCATCTTTGAAATGGAGAGTATTCAATACAGATAGGGTCTTCAAACATTCAGGAGCCAGACTACAACAGGAGTCCACTACTGGTGTGACAATAGGGCTTTTAGAAGCTAATAAACTGAATCAAGTTTCACATATAGATGATGATTCCTGGGTACCGGTACACCTCCAACTCCCCCCATTCCAGTTTTGGGATTCTGCCACCAAACTTGCAGGCACTAAGGCCGCTGAGCAGCATAGTGGCGTGACTTTTAAAATAGGAACGCAACAGCATGTTTTCTCAAAAATTTCGATTTAAGGATTTTTAGCTGAAACATTTCAAACATTTTATAGTAGGCAGCCAGGGTAGGAGATTTCAGCACAGCTTGCAACTGGCACTGGTATCTTACCACTCTTGTGAATGATTCACAACATGCATATAACTAAAAAGGTGAGAAAACCTGTGTAAACAGAGAGAGGAAAAAAAAAGGAAAACAGAGAAGGAGTAAAGAAAAAGGTTCTTTTTATATCATTTAACACATGAGAATGTAAATAAATGTGGTGTTAGTGAAAGTTAATTATTTTGAAAACAGTCAGCAAGGCAGATTAAGAGGAAAAACAGTGCAGCTGAAGACAAAGGAAGCGATATTCAGTCTTTGATCAAAAGTTTTCACAGTGTTTTTCTGTTCACCTTCAAGGGTGGCATGATTTTATGAATAACAAAATGTGTTTTGCTACTTGAGTAGCCCTAAAGAGAAATGGCGTTCATTCCATATGGCCACTTGAAAGAAAATCACATACCTGTTCCTCTTTTAAGAAATTAAACACTAAAGTTCTTAATGTATATGAGAAATATGTACATGACAAGTGTTTTTATATTAAGTATGGACATTTTTATTTATTAAATCTTTTCTCTCAAAAAGGGACCCTAAAGATACACAATGAAGTTTACACTTAGTCTCAGAGGAAAAGACAAGTCTATACCATGTGCTTATTCTACGCATTTCCTCAGAGAATGACATAGACTAACTGCATCATCTATATATCAAGCTGAAAACTTGAAATATTCTTATTTTAAAAAAAAAAAAAAGGTTTTCATTGCAGTACTCTTGAATACAAAATACTCACTTCCCCCTGCCGCCCGCCATTTGTTCCATTTCACAGGAGGTGAGTCTTTTGATAAAATTGGTCCCTGGCTTTTCTGCTACTCCCTTTAAGGTACACTAAAATTTGTCACTTTTTTTTTTTTTTTTTTTTTTTTATTTTCCCCCCATGAGTCTTCCATTTTTGTTTGGGGACCAGAGCGTAAACTTTCAGTCATTTCAGTTACTTGGTAGTGTTGGTCAAAGATGCAGTAGTAGTGTGAGCAGGGGTAGGACAACTTGTTTGCAAGTACCCAGCTATTGCTTATCCGAGGGAAGAAGCACTTCTCATCCCTGTCTTGGAAAATACATGCCTTTACTATATTGTCTATGTTAAACGTGCTTCAATAGTATTAGTGTCGGTGTGAATTATCTCTGGGCTTCTGTGGTAACTGCCCACCAAAGGACCTGCCATCACTTTGCAAAATCAGGGTGTTGGGATGTGCTGGGTGACTGTCAGACTCTTCAGCAACTGGTGAAAGTCACTGCTTGAACCTTCCTGACCTGGGGAGTGAGATCTGAGCCCCGGTGCAAATGTGACAGACAGTGCTACTGGTGGCTACCACACGAACAGCAAAGGAATTGGAAAGGAATGTATAAATGCCAGTGAATTTAACAGCAAGGAGATACCAAAAATTGCCTGGAAGTGAGTATATGCTAAAGGAACAAAGAAAAAGGAGCTTTACTAGGCTTTAAATAAATTAGATGCATTTATACTTTTAAATAATTTCAATTGTGTTATGTGTTTATATTTTATATTTTCCTATTTTATAATTCGATTTTATAGTTCTAAATACGTTATATTTTTATTACTTTAAATTATATTTTATATGCAAAATGAAAAGATTCTTTTTCTGTCCAAGTCCTTCTGTAACTCGGTTGAGACAATCTGCTTCTGAAAGTAGGGCTCAAGGAAGGGCAGTTTCAGTGTCTTTGAATGATTTTGAAATTATTTTTTGAACAGTTACCTGTGGTGTTGACACTCAGTACACTAACTTGAATGAATATTTCTCTTTGTATATTAATGCACACTGCAGGCGTTTTTCTTGGTACTCAATCATGTGCTTATATCTCAAGTATTTTCCTGTATTGCAGATCTAACGTTACTTTAATGACAATGTAGTGCACATAAAACTATAGCAACGATGTTTGCATCTGAATGTTTGTGAGAGTGAGTTTTGGGGTTACATGAGCCTTCACTGTCTCTCACGCTGAGCTGCTGCACCATCACCTGTCTCTGTGATACACTGCGACTACCAGGTCTGTGGAGCAGCACAGTCGGAACAGTGAAGAAACAACCCATGAGGAGGAAAAACAGTGGTGATGAAACTGAATAACCGGATAGATTGAAAAAAGCTTTGTAGTAAAAATCAAACAAAACATAATATTTAGAAGATCCTTTGTGTTTGCTACTTTTTGGTGTATTGGATAACACCTGTTACAATATCAAGGACAGTTTTAAGTTACCATCATTGGGAAATTTTCATTATTGCTGCTGAAACCTGATTTCTATGAATAACCATGTATGCAACCATACTGTTTTTTCAGTATCTAGAACGCAAATGAAGAATAAAAATGACCATTTATAGAACTGTACTCGGACATCTGAGTGATGTTGCATGGCATTCAATTGAGGTATTTAGGGAAAATACTTAGCATTAGCCTAATTCTTTTTCTGTTGTTTGTTGACTATTTTGCCAATGACTTCTATAGAAGTGAGTCACAGTCACAATTTTTTTCTCTGAAATGCTTTTAAAGTAGCAAAAAAGTATAGAAGAATCTCTTGATGCAAGTTATTCCTGAAAACTGTCACTGAACACTTGCTGGTTGTAATAAGAACATTCTTTGTATGGAGTCAGTCACATCAAGCGAGTCTGAGTGACTATGATGTTTCTAGGTGGCTTTAAAAACGGAGTTTTGAAACCTCCCACACAGCCCTGGATTCTGCATTAGCACACAAGTGAGCAAGATGTTTTTTTCTCTGCTGAAAGTACAAGAAATTTAGATTACCAGAAGGTGCAATTAAATTTTTGCAGGAAATCCTGAAGATCCCAAGGAGATACCTAGTCTGCAAGAGAACAGTTTTCTATTTTTATTTGAAAGTGATGGATTTTTTCACCTTTAATTAGCTAACAGCAATGTACTGCAGAGATTAATATGGAAGTTGAAATACTTTTTATGTAGTTATATACTGCAAATGTGTGGAAGTGCTTCTTTGATGCATTAGAAAATACAGTTAACATACAGTTAGCAGATTCACAAAATGAAAATTAATGTATGAATTATTTCACTAACGCTGCGCTTTGCCCCAGAATCTGGTGTTTATTATTGTGAGCTTTAGCAGGAAACAGAAGCAGTATCAATTGGGAAAACATTTCTTTATCGAGCTGAGAACAGTATGGCTTTCTCGTTTCGAAGTGGGGAACCTGGCTCTTTGGTTTCTTTGTTCCTAGTTAGGCTACTCCCAAGCTATTTTAGCCGAACATTTTACATACTAATGGAGCCTGGGGAAGTGCAGTTGGCAGCTGTTCATGGGATAATAATGAAACACACTGTTTAGTACTGCATACTGCTGCTGTAAAATGCGGGAAGTATTTTATAGCGATCATGGTGAGCAGAGCTGGATCCACTTTAAGCCCTGTAAGTGCGTGAACCGTGAGCGAGGAAGTTGTGTTTCAAGTGAGAGTAACTGGCACTCATTTGCTTTTGCAGGTAAAGAAACCGTGTACAGAGTCAGATGGTTCAGAGCCGCAGAATCCCAGGTATGGTACCGGAGGGCAAACGCCGATTGACCGCAGGGCGGTGGCGGGGCATGAGGCGGAGCTGTGCTGCGGATACGTAGCATCAGAGCGCGAGAGACCCTCTTTTGCAAAGAATGAATGGTTGGATCAGTTTTAATGGTTTTCACTCTGGAAGAGTTTTTCCCCTTTTCCCAGTTAAAGATGCAGGCTAGCATCCGAATTGTTGAGTTTAGATGGTGTCATAATGCTGAATTGTCATGCTTAATTTAAAAAAAAATAAAATTCTATTAATTAGTGTAGGAAATCTGTGTGAACAAATGTGACCTTTTTAAAATCCTTTTTCTGCGTACTAGAGTCTTGAAGTTTATTGATAATATAGTTTATTTGGCAAAATTCACCTTTATCAAAACTTCTTTGTTTTCACTTATAAAAAACATGCCATTGTACTCCTAGGTTGGGAAGAGACCGTACATTCTTTATAAAGAAACTTTTCCAATTAGTCTTTGCTAATGTCATGTACATGGAAAAATGGATTTAATTTCCATGTTTTGCACATATATGTACGTGCATGTATAAATTTGAGCAGGTGAAGTAGTAATTGTTTTAGATGTGCTATCAAGTGTGCATCTTCCTGTTGATTAGTAAGCTGTTGGGCAAGAGCGGATGATTTTCTTCAAGTTTTGTGGCTTGAAGTGCTTTTGTCTTTGTCTTGGTTCTATTTAGAAGACCTATTTCGGATTCACAAAAACTCAGAAGCTTTAATTGAGAGGGAAGAGCCACAAAACAAACCTGACATCACACTAATATTGTGATTAAAGCTCAGAAAAGCGAAGTAATTCAAGGCTTGCCCCCAAATCCCATCCTTAACTACGCCTTTGTGCCACCGTTGCAGTAGGATCCTCTGGGGATCACCTGCAATATCCAAGGCCAATGTAATACTTGTGGCTTGAGCTTTGCTGCATCTGAATTCCTTCGATTAGCTTTTCATGTCAGTTATTAATACATGCTTTCATTTAGTTTGGCAAGAACTGAATGTGTGTAAGGAAATACAAAATTCAATGTCCAAATACAATTCCAGTGAAGGCAGCAGCAGTTTTGCCCTGGTCTTCAGTGGAGGCATGTTTTGCCCTTTGGTCCTCATTTAATAATTTCTAAAAGAAAAATGTATCTGCCGTGCTGCTGCTTTGGATTAAAATTTGTTATAAAGGTCAAGCTCTTTCCAAGTACTTCGATGGCAGGGAGAATCCCAACTTAGCGAAACACTTATGCATGTGCATAGTTTTAAGTGTCTTGCTTGTACAAATGAGACTGTTACATCTCCAGTCTTTAAAAATGATGAAGTCCATAGTCTGATGTAGTTTCATCAGACTGTAATCTTGCAACAAACCTGAGGACCCAGAATACAATGTACTGTCATTACCTCTGCACATCAGGAAATTTTTTATGAGCTGTATTTAAATTCTTCATACTAAATCTGAGGAATAGGATACTTTTTTTCTCCCAGGTGCAAAAGGGAACCCACGTTACAAATAGTCAATCTGGAGGCTAAATCTGGTAGTTTCACTTTTTTAAGGTGCGTTTTCAAAGAAAAATGCTTTTCATTTTGAGCTCCACGGCCTCAGTTTGAGAATATATCAGATACAGTTGGGATTAATGTTCCTGGCCTGCATGCGATGCTGTGTATACAGCCTGGAGCGAGATTTTTTGGTCAGATCTGGATTCGCGATGCGACGTTGGTCTTGCAGAGGAATCTCTGGGAGACCTTTGGCTGGAGCGGCGCTAGAGGGCACCGCGCGGCACATAAAACTTTAAAGCCTGGGGCAAGGTAATTCTTCTCTAAACAAGGCTTAAGTGAAAACATTGCACATAAAATGAAACATCAGCATAAAAATGAATGCTGGAGACACACAGCCTTACAGAATAGCTCCTGGCTTGGGACCTAAGGCCAATATCATTCATTTATTTAGCTAGCTTTATAGTCTGTTGGTTTTGGATTTGAAACTATTACAATAAATGCAGATGGAAAGTGTTTTTACAGTAGGGAAGTAATTAAATTGGGTGTGGGAACTTTGTCAGGAGAATTCTTGGAGTGACATGTGTGTATCAGCAGATTCTTTGTCTTGCTTGGCCTTGGTTTGTCTTTTAGAAAGAAACATTCAAACTGCAGATGTGACTAGTAAATTTTTTTAAAAGAAATTTACTAACCTATGCAGCATATCAAAAAATGTTTTCCGGAAGTATCCAGCTATACATGCAGTAAAAATCGACCATTGCCGGCACTTATTTATAGAAAATGGTTGTGATCTTGATGGACAGGTAAACTGCACAGATGGAGAGGGAACTGTAGTTAAGAATTGAAGTCATGGTGGATAGGTGAGTTGTGAACACAAAAGGAAACATGCATGACTCTTCAGTTTCTCTATCGCAAATTTTGATTCACAAATGACTTTGTCTTACAAATTCTGTCAAAGTTTCTTGGGAGTTATTTTGTCAAATCCCTGTGAACTGGTTGTGCATACTTCCTTTTATCCCCAGACATTTAGATATTAAATTATTTATACCTAAATGGTGGTATTGTACCTAATCATGGTGGTATTGTGGCTGTATCAATATTATGGCATTCTTTCTTCATAATTTTGTAATAAAAATCAAATTCACCCTGCAAGTCCGGATAGCCATCCAGTCATGCAAAATGCTTACAGCATTCTGGAGCCGCTGGGGTGCAAGACAGAGGCAGTACATGGTTGGGACTTGCCAAACATCGTACTACAGGTCTGAAATTGTACTACAGGTCTGAACGAGACAGGAGTAACATGGCTGGGTGACAACTCTGGCATGCTGATCCTGTATCAAATTCACTAGCAAGTTTAGGAAGAGAAGTTCCCGTGTTCAGACCCTATAAACATACATTGGTCTTAGCTTTCTTATATGGTGGGTATACTTTAAAATGGTACCAATCCCCAGTATACTGAACAGCTCCTACATTAAATTTAATGTCACACAAGTCTAGTGCAGTGCATGAAAGTTAACTTGCTTGCAGTTATTAACAAGCTCCCTTTTTACACAGATAATCAAATGAGCCATTTTAATTCTAGTAAGGGAGCATTTTGTTGCCTTAAAACATGTAAGCTACACTTACAGCCTCATACCCCAAGACCTTGCTTGCTGCAGAAGTTAAACACTAGAATATATGTGATTCTGAATGATAAAATGATAAATACTGAGTCCCAAACTCCTGCTCACACTCAGCTACAGCATGTTCGGTTTGGCCACGCATCCCAGGGCAGCATCTTTCTTTGAGACAACAAACTGCTTGATGAACACATCGCTGCTACCCCCAAATCCTCCTTCTCTTCCCACCAGGCCTGCCAGAGATTCCACTCTTAAGACCAAAGTCGCATCAGGAATTGAGATCTGACAACATTTGTTGGGTTTTCTGGGCTATAAAATAAAATAGGAGAGAAATGAGGGGAGGGAGAGGAAGTCCCTGCAAATGGAAATTTAGCAGGGTCTTCTGCCGCTTCTTCAAAGCTCATTGATTATAGGAAAAAAATTATGGGGTTTTTTTTCACTCTCTGGAGAGGATAGGAGGCTGCAGAAGAATGAGGGGATATTTCTGACAGCTGAGACACAGTTTCTTTTTTTCCTGGAAGGGTAAAGGCAAATGGCCTTGTATTTCATATACCTTCCCTCTTTAAACCATGGTCTATGGGGAAAAAAGGGAGAACTTGAAGGTTTTTAACAGGTAGGTTTGTAAGCTTGCAATGAAAGTTAGCTGACAAATTAACTTGTGAAAATACATAGTGGTGTCAAAAAGACATTATTTGAGTATTCACAGAAGGGCAATGGATCTTTGTATTGGTAAGTTAAAGCTAAGTCCCATGGAGTAAGAAGCCCTCCATTCTTGTTGCGTAATTATTACTACAAACCTGTGGATCTAATATGTCAAGCTATATTAATTCTTCCTTGTCTTTTCCTTTATGCACTTTTTTAATTATTTCTAAAAGCAAAAGAAAGGGAAAAGAAGCCACACTTAAGCAAATCCTCCCTTCTAAGACTTTATCAGATGCTGTAAGAAGAGTGTAATCAGAAGCCTTATAGCTATTTTGTTAGTACCAGCTAGACAAAGTTTGTTCCTATGTATTACTGAACTGCCAATTCACCGATGATGATCACTGGTAAATATTGAATCATATGCACAGACACAGTTGCCAGATAAACAGGCCGTCCAAAAAAGCACAGAGGGGTTTTTTTATGTGTTTAAAAAAGGTCTCCAATATTTCAATTTAATATGGGTTTCAGTGAGGCCCTTAGCATAGATTGCAGCTGTTCATCAGATGATTGCTGTTCTGTTCTTCTACACCCACACTTCTTAAAAGTGCACGGCATAGTAAGATTTAAAAGATATGAATTCCTGTTTCTGTTTCTTCATCTTAAAAGTCTCTCTTAAAACTTCTGAATGAGAAATAAGCTTTCACGTTTTCTCAGTGGTCTCTTTTTGATACCTACTCATGTTTTTTCATTTGTCAGGGTGTAGAGTGCGTGTACATATCCAGAGACTATTACTGTCATTAATGAATTCACAAGTAAATAGATGGTATTGAATGCCAATAAGAGCTACCACGGTTTTCACATTCAGTTCACTGGACCAAGGTTTGTTTCCTCTGCAATTTGGCAACACTGTTGTGAATACGATGTTCACTATTCTTACTGCGCCTGAGCTATGCTAATGCTGCGTGAGTGCATTACTGAACAGTGTTTCCATGGGCATCTGTATATTTAACAAAAATGAAAAGGAAAATAATGTGTGTCTTCTGCACTTTATTCTGGACAACCAGAGCATCAAAAGTGTTTTGTTCTCAGCATTTCGGACTGTGTGAAATACACCTGAGAGTTCTCTTTTACTGACTAGTTCCCTCAACAAGACCTTCACAGTGTGATGATGATGATGATGGTTAATTCTTTCAGGGAGGTATTGGCTTTATTTTAATACCAGGTAATTGTCCATGTTTACCAGATCT